AAACAGATCAAAGAACAGTCCGAACGACAGTCCGAACGACAGACAGAAGAGTTAAAACAACAGATCAAGGAACAGTCCGAACGACAGACAGAGGAGTTAAAACAGATCAAGGACCAGCTAAAACACGTAAAATTGGAAGTGGCAGAACAGATTGAAGAACAGTCAACAAGAATAGAAATGATCGAACAGAAACTTGATCGTCAGACCGTTGAGGTCTGTCACACAATTTGTCTATCACAAGATAGACAAATTGAAGCGAGAATTGGAGCAATCCAAAAAAATGGCCATGCCGTTAGATCACGCATCTGGAAGAACTTTGAAGGTACCAGCATTTGACGGAGAGATGTCCTGGAACGTTTATAAAACCCAGTTCGAAGCAGCGGCAACTAGTAACTGTTGGAACGGAAAAGAACAAGCAACAGCACTGATACTGGCCCTGCGAGGTTCAGCAGCAGAGGTTCTTCAGACGATTCCGGCGGAGAACCACTTCAACTATGAAGTTCTGGTTAGCACGTTGGATGAACACATGAAGCAGATTTATCGGTCTCAACTTAGAAACAGAACGCAACGATCTGGTGAATCCATTCAGCAGCTGGCACAAGATATCGAATGGTTGACATTGCTGTCGTATCCAACATCAGACCCCGAGCACAGAGACGAAACTGCCCTGGATACGTTTATCAAAGCCCTTCGTGATTCGGAACTCAAGCAATCCCTTCTCTTGTCAGATAAACAAAAACTCAAGGATGCCGTTGCGCACAGTCTCACTTTTGAATCGGCAAAGCAAGCATCAAAAAGTGACGTACGTCTACGCCAAGTACATGAAGAATGCTCTTGCCAGAAGGTGATTGTGAAACGCGAACCCCAACAGCATGGTGTACCCCAATGCTGGATTTGTGGCAAAAAAGGCCATCTACGTCGTGATTGTAAACACCGCCTAAAAGATAACTACTGCCGAAATTGCGCGACAAGATGGCGCAAAAGAAGAGAAGATGATCCCGTATTACGATCGGCCCCTTCGTTAGAAGGGGCGGAAAACTAATAAGAGCCAACTTTGTGGGGCAGAGGTTGGCTAGTAGAATTGACGCCCCCAGTACCGTAATTAACGTTTCCAGACTACATCGAAATCGAAACGACTTATGGCTGAACGGAAAAGTTGATCAACGAGAATGCGTAATTACAGTCGACACCGGAGCAACAAAATCGATTTTAAGATTTGATTTGGTACCCAATCTGAAGAAAGAGACTTCTAACAAATACATCCTTCGAACAGCTACCGGAGGAACAGCACCAGTCTATGGAAAGATTCTCCGTACTGTTCAGCTAGGCGACTTGTTATTCGAAGGTTCATTCTTAGTCGCGGATATCATCGACGAATGCATAATAGGTGTCGACTTTCTGACAAAATATGGGTTCAAAATTGACTTAGAAAAACGCATTCTTAGATGGAGAAATACAGAAGTGATAATGGGGGATAGCGACGAAAAATGCATTCGAGTAACAGTCGATTGTGACATGGAACTACCTCAATCATCTGAAAACATCGTATGGGGCAAGTTGAATTGCGATCCTGGGGGCCACCAGTTCTATTTGATGGAGCCAACCTCAACGACAAATGTACAGAACGCGGTCATTGGAAAATGCCTTGTAGAAGCGAACAAAAATGGTCTTATTCCTGTCAGAATAATGAATACCGCTAAACACACTATTAAAATTAAAAAAGGCGAGGAAATAGGTAATTGCCAATCAATAAATTTGGTGAAATCGTTAGATGTGGAGCAACAGGAAAAGGTTCTACCAACTGACAAAGACAGACCCAAAGAACTTACCAAAAATCTACTGGATGAGCTTAATTTGTATCAAGAAGACCGTCTAAAAGCCGAGGCGTTGATTGCTGATTTTGCAGACGTGTTTTCAACCGGTGACAATGACCAAGGTAAAACAGCTCTGGTAACTCACCGAATTGATACTCAGGATTCGAAACCGATCCGACAAGTACCACGACGTCTTCCTCTAGCAAAACAAACAGAAGTAAACGAAATGATAACGACAATGCAGAATCAAGGCGTCATCGAACCGTCATCAAGTCCCTGGATTTCGCCAGTTGTTTTGGTAAAGAAGAAGGACGGCACTACCCGTTTTTGCGTTGATTATAGGAAGTTAAATGATGTGACTAAAAAGGACAGCTATCCGTTACCGAGGATTGATGACATCATGGACACCCTATCTGGCTCAAGTTGGTTCTCTACGCTTGATTTGAAAAGCGGATACTGGCAAGTAGAAATCGACAAGAACGATCGCGAAAAGACAGCGTTTTCTATCGGATCGGGGTTGTGGCAATTCACCGTCATGCCATTTGGATTGTGCAATGCTCCAGCTACATTCGAGCGACTGATGGAATGTGTATTGCAAGGTCTTAACTGAAAAACCTGTCTTGTCTATTTAGACGACATAATTGTTCTAGGAAGAACATTTGATCAACACGTCGAAAACTTACGGGAGATCTTCACAAGACTTCAGATTTAAAGCTGAACGTTAAAAAGTGCAGGTTATTTTCTAAAGAAGTTAACTATTTGGGACATGTGGTATCTTCAGATGGAGTTCGAACCGATCCCAGCAAGATAGAAATTGTGAAAGACTGGCCAACTCCAAAGGATAAAAATGAATTGCGCAGTTTTCTGGGATTGGCAACGTACTATCGACGTTTTGTAAAGGATTTTGCAAAAGTTGCCAGACCTCTCCACCAACTTACCGAGAAGGACCGAGTTTTCAACTGGAATACCCTATGCGACTCAGCATTTGAAAAGTTAAAAGTTGAACTATGTGATGCT